TAAGGTTGAAATCGTTATTATATTATTACATTTGCAGTTTTTTTTTTTCTAAGTCATATTCTTAATCGAGTTTTAATTTTTTCACATTAATAATAAACCCAGTTTGTTTGCACATAATGAAGATAAATTTAACAAATTATTTGAAAGAAGCATTAAATGAAGAAGTCTGTATTTTTTTTTAGTGAGAAAGCGAGCTTGTATTTATTTCACCATTAGAGACTTAAACAAGTACCTTATATAATTTTTGCATTTGAAACAGGTCATTTAATAAAGTCAAAATGTAAATAATCCAAATAACGGTTTTAGGCCCTCGTTTCTTGGGATGAAATCCATTCTCCTACCTTGGGAAACATCCCTTATAATGAGTTACATTGTTGAATATTAATGGAAGTTTTCTCAGCATTAACATCAGGATTTTCCGCATTTACATAAAGTGCGGTAATGGTTAGTTATTCTACTACAAACTGGCAACATTTCGAAAAATTCGAAATTCCATATTATGTACTATGGGTCCTACATTTGAATATAATAATATTTTTCGGTTAAATGTAGGTCAATTAAAAAATGGAAAAATATGTTATGTTTTCATTACCTACACCACATAGTGGTAAGGGTATTATGTCTTTGTGCTTTTGTTTGTAACATGGAGAGGGAAGCGAGATAGACCCATAGTTACTTTTGAGAGGAATGATATTTGGTACCACATATCAGATACAGCCCAGAAATACCTCTGCCAAATTTTATCAAGATAGGTGCAGATTTGGATATAGCTCCCATATATATCTTCAATTGATTTCGGGTTAATTGTGCACCAAATAGCCAATATCAGTTCAAATAGCCGAATTTAGTCTAGAAGCAAGTACATCAAATTTGGAGGAAATAGATTCAGAGATAGATTTAGCTCCCACATATATATGTTTCATCCGATTTGGTCTTTAGGTCCCTCACATTCGTAATTTTCATTCGATAACAACGACTTTTGGTACCAGATATCTTATAGAGCTCGGAAATTCCTTTGCCAAATTTTATCGGTATCCTTAATCCGATTTGAGATTTGTTGTGTAAATAATATAATTAATTTCGGGACGTACGTTTCCGTTTGGCAGAACTCGGCGCGATATAAATAACCTTTCAAGAAGTGATATCATGCACTCTATAAGAATATTATTAAGTATAAAATATATAAATACCTCTGTCAAATTTTGTGAAAATCGATTCAGAATTCGATATGCCTCCGATATATTAGTTCCCTCTGAATATAAACTATAACTGCTCTAAAGGCAAATGTTGATAGGTGGTTTGATCTTCTTCAAATAAATACTTTTGTTACGGAAACTGCTAAAAATGCGTAGTGGTGTAGGGTATCATATAGTCGTCACCGAACGACTATTGACTTTTTCTTTCTGTTCAAAAGCATATTTTCGAGGGCTTCCAGCGCACACATTGTGCAATTCAGGAACTTAATGCCTAGGTGAAGTTTTTTTAAATTATAAAACGTGATTTTTTTTTAATAACATCATATAACTTCTTTCAGGAAAGAAATCGTGGATTTTCAAAAAATACATTCTGGCCAAAAATCGCGAAGTTTGTAGGTTTATTTATAGGAATTCTTTACCAAAAACTATGGAGTTTTTACGTGTATTTATAGAAACTCTTTACCAAAAATCGTGGAGGTTGAAGGATATTTTAAAGTACCTCCAGAAAAAGATCGCTTTTTTCTAAGATCTCTTGCTGATAATGAAAAACTTTAAGATCTTCCTTATCAAAAATCATTTCGTTTTTGTGAAGAACTTTATGGGATGGCAGGTTTTTATTGACATCCTGCTCAATTCTTTTCTTTAATATTTTGAAGGATCTTATTATTTCTTACGATCATCTGTAAGAAACAACATTCGCAAAATGATTGATTTTTTTAATGATTTGAAAAAATAAATTAAAAATACTGGATTTATTGAATATTTCTAAGAATTCTGGCCAAGAGTTAATTTTTTTGCGGATCTTCATTGGCTTAGTCGAAGTAAGGATTAACGTTCACAGAATCTAACAACATAAGGTCTGCTGATAACTCCAAAATTTGTAACAATATGATTTCGTAAAAATAGTTCTTCAAATAAAGCGAATCGAGAGAGAGAGAGACACGTTGACATTCTGCTTGCTGAGATTTTGCACGTTCTGACATGAAAATGTTTTTTTCCTGGCACTATAGAGCGAAATGAAAAAACTGCAACCAACTTCAGACTGCTGTCATTACTAAGCCACTGGTCCGACAGCTGTTAAACTTATTCCAGTGACAACTTTTTATATTGTTTAAAAGCGTACAAAAGCATTTTGCTGAGAATTTTCCAGAAAAAAGTTATTCGTGATGGAATTCAAGCGTGATAGTGTGATTTCTTTATATTTGGCTGGAAAACCGCAAGTGGCTATCGTTAGAGCACTTCAGCATTAAAATGTGAATAAATCTTTTGTGTCTCGTACAATCGCTCGTTACCGTGATACTGGTAGCGTAGCCCGACGTCAAGGGATTGGACGGAAGAAAACAGCAATATCAGCAGAAATGGCTCGAAGAGTAAAAAAGCGACTCGGTCGAAACCCGCGTCGAAGTGGCCAAAAAAATGGCCCTTCAGCTGAACATATCGAAATATTCCATTCGACAAATATTGAAAAATGAGCTCGGGGTAAAGCCATTGAAATTCCAAAAAATGCAAGAACTTTCTCCGCAACAGAAAGAAAATAGACTCAAAAGAGCTGAAGAGTTGCTTCGCTTGGCCGAAAATGGTGAACTGCCGAATTTGGTTTTCTTCGATGAGAAAACATTAGTTTTCAAGCAGTTTGTAAACAATCAAAATGATCGTGTTCACTTGCCAAAGAGGTCAGCTGCAAATGTGCATCTTCGGTTGGCCACCAGAACTCAAGCGCCGGCCATGGTGATGGTGTGGGCCGCCATAACTGCCGATGGTCGCTCTCCGCTCGAATTAATCTACCGTGGCATCAGAATAAATGCCGAATATTATTGCGAAAATATTCTTGGGCACGCAAACATTTTGGCCGCAGACCTTGGTCATTCCAACAGGATTCAGCACCATCGCTTCGAGCACGCGCCACCCAAGAATGGTTACAAAATCAGGTTCCTCGCTTCATTTTCAGGCACAATGGCCACCAAAATATTCGGATACCGTTTTGTTGGTTTATTGTGTCTGAAGTATTTTCGAAAGCAAGGTTGGCAGTAAAAAATAGCAAAGTGTCGATCAACTCAAGCAAGCGCTTCACCGGGATTGGGCCAAAATACCGCAGAGCAATATTCGGACAGCGTGTGACGGTTTCATTGGCCGTTTGAAGGCCAAAATTCGTGCCAAAGGTGACAAATTCAAACAAAACTAAACATATTCTAAAGTTTGATGCTATTTCCGACATTTTTTGCTTTCATTCAATAAAATTTAAACAAAAAGTGTAGAAACTATGGCGTTTGAGTTCGTTGCATTTTTTTTATCTCATCCTGTATAGCCCCAATTTATGAGAGTGTGCATACATTTTTCCTATAACTACTTGTTTCTAACAATACCTCACCGATACTGATATTGACTAAACACACACTGGTTGTCAATACAACGTCCAATATTCATTGATTTTCTACCGGTATTACTACAATTATGTTCCTTAGTTCCGAGTTGATTTAATCTGAAAAATTACCGCTCCCTTTTACCGTCAACTAAACTTCATTGAATTTTTCAAAAAATAATTTATTATTATAATTGAGAAATGGCACGACATCCACCCAGCGATTACGAGGAAGAAAAACGAAAGTAAAATGTCACATTTTGTGTTTTGTGTACTAATAAATTGGGACAGAAAAAAAAACGGGAAAACAGCCTATGGCCCAGTTTGTTCCAATACAAATAAACAAATTCCATCGTTCCTGTGCAAAAAAGCAACGCAAAGCGAAAAGGAAAAACAAAACAAACCCAAAAAAACACTGGCATTGCCTTCACAACGGATATGGACGAATTAAAGTCTCCACAAATTCCAGAATGGGGCTTGTTTACTTCGAACACACAACAAACGAACTCGCACACACACACACCTGCAGACACAGTGTTGGTGAGTGTTCAGGACTCTTTTGTGTGTGTTTTCGTGTGAGCACACAAAAGGAAACTAATCATTGCTCTCTGTTATTTTACTTTTTAAGAGATTGCGCCGTTGGCGGTCGATGACACCATCGATGCCAATGCCCACCACCTACATTCAGTGTTGCTCGAACCATAGCGGAGGGTGGACGTATCCCGCAAAGTGTCGTCTTCTGTTCGGTAATTTGTGTTTGCGTTCTTATCGTCCGTTTGCTGCCCCCCTCTTTTGCAAATCGTATCGTGGTGTGAGAAAATCATAACGGCATTGCGTGAGAATAACTGGAGGAACGAAAAAACCAATCCAGTAGCTCTGCAAAATAAAGAGAGTCCAATAATATATCCATGACCTTGCACAAACATAATCATAAAAACGAAGAGAAAGCTACAGCCAAAACAAATAACAAGCAGGCGGATTCATATATTACTCTTATATTTGTCAAGGTTATGCGGAAAGCTGTGAATGGCGAAATGTGAATAAAACAAATGAAATATTTCACATTTTGGGCGAAAAAAAAAGAATTTCAAGAAGTGAAAGTGAAATCAACTTGTCGACGTTGTGAGTGATTTGAACTTTGGTGATGATTTGAAGTCTGCGTCTGTCGATATTGTGAAGGCAAGGCATCAGCCAAGGGATAAAGCTTAATATGATTTAAAATCGAAGTGATGAAACATGAGATGTTGTGAATTCTTTATAAAAATCAAAAGATTTATGAATGAAATCTAATCAGAGTGCAACTGGTGTATTGTGAATTTGTCAATGTGACCGTAGGCAAACGGGTTTTATTAAAAACGCAAATAAATCGCAAAAATTAATTAAAGCTACATATTGTCTACGTAAAAATTATAAGTAAACAACAGAAATTAAGGCAATTTAAAGAAGAGTAAACGCAATTAAGCCAATTACCTGTAATTGTGAATTTTGGCTAAAATAAACAAAAATTAGATGATAATAAATTATAAATATTTTAAATCAATATTTAAAATTAAAAAAAAAATTCAAGCTAAATTGTGTCCTAATTAATGGTGTTCAAAATAGAATTATACAAATATTTGTTTAAATTATATAAATTTTGTAAAATTGGCAAGTGCAGTGTTTTGATAACAAAGAAAATATTTCAACAAAAAAATAAAAAAAAAAAAAAAATATTTTAATTTATAACGTAATAAAAAAGTGAAAGGTTCATTTCCAATACAAAAAGTGGGAGTTTGGTGCATAGCTGTCATTAATTCAAAGTAAATTCCGTGGATGCTACCAGTACATTAAAAAGTAAGCAAATACAATAATGATAAAAATATTGCCTTAATTAATTTACAATCATAATGACAATCCATGTCCTGGAATTATAATTGTTGTATGTCCTCCAATAAATTCCAATCCAACTTTTGAGAACATCTGGCAAAAAAAAAGAGTAAGGATATTCTTCTGGTACCTCCCCCACTTAGGGTCGAAGTTTTGAATTTTGTACCAAAATGATCATAAAATCCAAAATAAGCTGGCTGTTCTCTGCAAATTACACATATCTCAATATTTTTATTAAAAATTTTGCACAGATCTCTCTTTTGTCTGCAGGCAGGTCAAGTTCGATATCGTATAGCCCCCATATAAAGGTATCCCCCGATATTCGGTATTTTGATGATTTTAGCCACATTTTTCAATGGAACTGCCTGAAATTTCACACAAGGATTCCCTTGTGAGTGTTTTACCCTCTGAAGGAGAATTGTCTATATAGGTCCACGATATCGGTACCCCTCGATATGCGGTATTTTGATGATTTTAGCCACATTTTTCAAAGTCATTGTCTGATAATCCACACAAGGAGTACCTTGTGGGTACTTTATCCCTTGGAAAAGAATTATCTATATAGATCCACGATATCGTATAGCCCTCATATAACGATACTCAGCGAGATTCGGTATTTTCATGATTTTAGCCACATTTTTAAATGGAATGGTCTGAAAATCCACACAAGGAGTTCCTTGTGAGTACTTTACCCGCTGAAAGAGTTGTCTCTATAGGTCTACGATATCGTATATCCCCCATGCAACGGTTCTCCCCGATATTCGGTATTTTGATGATTTCAGCCACATTTTTCAATGGAATTGTGAGTATTTTGATAATTTTTAAATGGATTGGTCTGAAAATCCACACAAGGAGTTCCTTTTGAGTACTTTAGCCCCAGATATAGATTTGTCTATATAGGTCCACATTATTGTATATCACCCCATATATCGACACCTTCCCATATTTTTATTTTTTTTTTTTTTTTTGAAAATTGTCTAATTCTTTCGATATGGTGGATGGTATTCAAAGTTCGACCCGGCCGAACTTACTGCTTTTTTACTTGTTTTTGTTGAAAATGTTCAAGAATCTTCCATATGGTTGATGGTATTAGCTGCTATTTACCTGTTTCATATTAAAATGTCCTTACATAAATTAAGAGCCCATCGACAGGAAAATATGAGCAGGACCATAAAAACCCCAAAACTATCCTATTGTCCTTATACAAAAAATCGTTTGGGTAAGAGGAGAAATTACCTATTTCTCAAAATGTCAAATACTACAAACCCAAACCAATTTTGTTCTAGAATCTTTGAAATACTGAAAATAAAAATATAGCCCCAAGGTAGCGTTCTCATTTGATTCTCAATATATCAAAGTTCCACAATGAATTTCTAAGCAAATATGCTGTAACATAATTAAACGCTGACAGGTTTGTAAATTTTCAATAACAAAAATGTACAGGGTGAGATGAAAAAACTGCAACCAACCGACAGGTGTTAAAATTATTTCAGTGACAGCTCATTATATTGTTTACAAGCGTACAAAAGCATTTTGGTGAGAATTTTCGAGAAAAAAGTTATTCGTGATGGAATTCAAGCGTGAATCGCTCGTTATCGTGATACTAGCGTAGCCCGACGTCAAGAAAGCAGAAATGGTTCGAAAAGTAAAGAAGCGACTTGATCGAAACCCGCGAACATATCGCAACATTCCATTCGGCAAAAATTGAAAAATGACCTCGGGGTAACACCTCCCCGCAACAGAAAGAAAATAGGCTCAAAAGAGCTAAAGAGTTGCTTCGATTGGCCGAAAATTGTAAACTGACAAATTTGGTTTTCACCGACGAGAAAACGTTCGTTCTCCAGCATTTTGTAAACAAACAAAATGATGGTGTTTACTTGCCAATGAGGTCAGCTGAAAATTTTCACCTTCGGTTGTCCACCAGAATTCAAGTGCCATCTGTGGTGATGGTGTGGGCACCCATAACAGCCGCTCTCCGCTCGTATTAATCGACCGTGCTATCAGAATAAATATCGAATATTATAGCGAAAATATTCTGAAGGGTTATTATTATTTATATGGCACTAAAAAAACCAAAGTGTCGATCACCTTAAGCAAGCGCTTCGCGGCGAATGGGCCAAAATACCGCAGAGCAACATTGGGGCTGCGTTTGACGGTTTCATTGGCCGTTTGAATGCCATAATTCGTGCCAAAGGTGATTAATTCAACAAATCTAAACTTATTCTAAAATTGAAAACTATATCCGACATTTTTTTCACGTCTTCAGACTTCCAAATTTGTATATAGGTCCAGGATTTTTTTTATATATAGGTCCAGGATTTCACATCGTCCTCATATAACGTTTTCTCCAGATATTAGGCTCTATCGACTTTTATCGGATTTGGTATCGTAAGTCCAGTAACATAAATAAGATGTACTTATCGAACGGTATGCCGCATGAACTAGGGACTTATTTTCTGGGTATTGCAATTTGATAGTAGAAAGTTGTAAAAATGGTAAAATTAGTATTCACTCGCACTTTTTGTAGCGGATCGTATATCTCCAGATTTGATATATTTTGCATGATACAGGGTGAGATGAAAAAACTGCAACCAACTTCAGACTGCTGTCATTTATAAGCCACTCGTCCGAAAGCTGTTAAAATTATTCCAGTGACAGCTCATTATATTGCTTAAAAGCGTACAAAAGCATTTGGTGAGAATTTTCCAGAAAAAAAGTTATTCATGATGAAATTCAAGCGTGATAGTGTGATTTCTGGAAAACCATAAGTGGCTATCGTTAGAGCACTCCATCATTTAAATGTGAATAAATCTTTTGTGTTTGGTACCATCGCTCGTTACCGTGGTACTTGTATCGTAGCCCGGCGTCAAAAAAGTGGAAGTGGAAAAAATGGCAACATCAGCAGAAATTTTTTGAAAAGTAAAGACATTTTTTGTTTTCATTCAATAAAATGTAACAAAATTTAAAAATTATGGAGATTGACTTTGTTGCAATTTTTTTTATCTCACCCTGTATAAACTTCTTCAAAAGAAAGACACGTGTAGTCTTAAACCGGTTGATAAATTTCAAATTAGAATCTGCTTCTTCGAAAAAATTTTAATGTTTCGTATCTTAATGCCACTTCACAAAAATCATTTCGTTGTTTTTTTTTTATTCCCCCCTTGACCAACAACGAACGCATTCCCATAATATCTTCACAACATTGCAATGTTGTGTGTACTTCAGCTTAAACTCCTGCCTTTGTGTCGTCTTAAAATACAAATACTTTGACCAATCTGTAATTTTTGAATCACATGAATGAATCATTGAGTTAATTGTAATTTAATAATGAAAATATCTTGCCATTCTCATTGCCTGACTGCAGCGGAAATTTTTTTTAAGCATATACTGTATTTTTTTATTTCGTTTCAGAACACTGAGGATTACAATGGAAATATGTTCGCAGAATATTTAACAAGACAAGAAGAAGAAAAAGAATGTCCAGCGATAAAAACGGAAAAGCTTAAAATTACCGAGAACCAAGTGTCAGAAGCTGTCGTTGGCTTTGAGTGAAAAAAATTACACACCGAGTTCGGTACAAAAACAGGAAAAAAATAAAATAAAAAAATCCAAGAGATATTGAAAGGTAAAACATATCCGGACATTATTCCACGTACATACACTTTATTGTGAATGGCTGGATGGATGAGGGAACGAATGAATGAATGACTGAATGCTCCTTGCTGGCGGTATCCTTTGGTGTAAAAAATCAACTGCCAGATATGAAATAACATGCTGCTATTAAAGTATCTCACGTGCCTGGAAAGACTCAACGAGAAAATTGAAACCAATTAAAGCTGAAAACGGGCATACCGTCATCACTTCGTAAGACAGATTATTGATAAATATTTGAGCCCTTTTCACACACACACAAACGGATACACCCTCACACAAAAGAGCCATAGCTTTGACCCACTGCCAATGTGAGAGGAAATATTTACAAATGATTTTCCTTGGGATGACTTACCTCGTAACCAGACAATGCTGTGAACAACGAGGGTAGCAAAGAAATATCCATCATTTGAAATTCTAATAAAAGAATTGATGCGCTACTAAAACGTGACCCCAAAAATACTCAGGAAAATCCGAAAAGCAAGTGATGATCCTAATGATAAAATAAAAGAGAATTGTCTGTAAATTTTTAAATATTTCATATCAACGAACAACAACAATGTCGATGAGGAAAGTGGCAGGATTGTAAATTTTATTACAATAGAAATAGCTGGTACACTACGCCAGACTGGAATTTCTCGTAAGCCAACGAAAGGATAACTCTTCGACAACCACCGTCCTGCATTACTTTCTTTTGTTCTTTTACATAACACCCAAAAAAACAAGACGAAAAGAAAAAAAGGAAACAAACAAAAACAAGACATATGAAAAGGTGTGAGATATTACATACCATCGCATTTGGAAGTCTGAAGACGTAAATAAAACGAACGAACAGAAACTCTACTTTCCTGCATCCGCTGCTCGCCACTGTATAGCGCTGCCATGGTATTTTCCTTTTCCCAAGAACTTTTGCTCTTGTAAACCGGAAAACTTCTGCAGCCTCTTGTTCGCCTTCAATACATCGGCACACGTTCAACAAGCGTTTTTTTTCTTCATCTACTTCACGGCTTCATTCTTTTATTCTACGTTTGTCGGCATAGCGCACCAATTGTTCTGTGACACTTTTTGCTGGCACTTGCAAACGAAATGACCTTTTCTTCCGCATCCTAACTACAAGCAAGCATCTGTGTGTGTGTGTTCAACATCTGCAACTTTCATAACTGGAGCCATCGTCTGTCTGTTGGACTTAAAGTTTTGTTGTCGTCGCCTGAATCATCATCATCAACACCGCCAGCTCCACCACCACCAATAACATCGGCATCAACCACTCGTCTACTTTGCCATTATCAACACTGCCCCTTGTCGCCTCCTGCTCCTGTAGCCGTTGTCGTCGTCGTCGTTGTTGCTATCATCGTCATCCTCATCCTGGATAAATTCGCATAAACGACAGCATCATTACTATCGCCGTCATCATGACACATTGGCTGTTAAATTTATTGACGCTACTTATGTATGCGGGTAAGTAAAACTCTGACTCTTTGGTATTTCTCGTTTTCATTTAATTTTATTAATTTGACTTTGTGCTGTGCAGTACATCCTGCTTTGCAGTCATCCGAAATTTTTGCATAAAGTTTCCGCCTTGTCGTAGTTCGTAATTGGTTAACATGCATATATATATATTTTTTTCGAAACTGGAACTGAAGACAACTCTAGAAATTAGTTCTTAAAGTTGATTTTCTTTCTTTTCTGTCGCATCACTTGGAGGACCATATTGATGATATTCAAATGAGCGCAGAGAAGTTGAATCTTGGGGCCAGATAATGAAGAGTAGCAAATGGGAGGGAAATATTAACATATTCGGCAGACTTGGATTTCAGTGGAAGGCTTTACATCTAGTCCAGCTGCAGATTGCAGTTTTTTTATTTTTTGGGCATAATTATAGTTTAATATCCTCCGCCATACTATGGAGGGTATTTTAAGATTGTCATTACTCCTCAAAAATAATCTCATCCAAATAAGAATTTTAGACCCCACAAAGTGTAAAAGTTTTTCATCGGCATAAAAATACATATCGATTTAGCCATGCAGGTCCAACTGTCTACTGACATTTTTCTCAAATATACATAAAATCCGTAGCACTTTAGTATTAAAAAATTGGGATATGTAGGTCCCCGATTTCCTAAAGCCCCTTTATAAGGGTACGGTATTCAGTATTTTTGGATGTTTAGTTGAATTTTTCAACTTAAATTGCATTTTGTGTTCTCAGCCACAGAAAGCATCACCTGATATTTTGGCATGAGAAACCACCTAATATTTTGTATTTAGATGCCCGACATTGTAAGCGTTATTTCTAAAGTGGTATTTGAAGTTGGAAATAGGTAATACCATCTCATTTAGAAAAATGTTTACCCAGGTTCACGTTTTCATGTAAACCCAATGTAACGGAACTTCCAAATATGTTGTATTTTGAAGGCAGAACAGCCTTACATTTTATATTTATAATATTTGATATCAATGACACAAATTTGCCTTTGCTGGTTACGATAGCCTGAATCAATCGGTACACCTAATATTCAGTGTTTTGATGATTTTAGCCACATTTTTCAAAAGAATGTTTTAAAGATTAATTCTTGGAATTTGAAATGGATAACAGTTGCTCTGGTAAGAGATTGTATGTATAGGCCGAGGTTTTCGTAAAGCCTTCTTATAACAGTACCTCCCGTAGTTCGGTATCTTATCGTCTTTTATCGAACTTTTTATCGTAGGTTCAAATAATATAAATAAGATTTACTTTTCGAATACTGGACTTCATCTGTTATCTGCTACCTATGTGGCAGGTAGTTAAAAGTTCCGTTTGGGCCGAGTTTTAAATCCTATATAAACTATGGATTCAGATTATTTTGGGGAGCTATATTCGTCGACTTATGAACACTCATATACATACAGGGTGAAATGAAAAAACTGCAACCAACTTCAGACTGCTGTCATTTCTAAGCCGCTCTTCCGACAGCAGTTAAAATTATTCCAGTGAAAGCTCATTATATTGTTCACAAGTTCACAAAAGCCTTTTTGGTGAGAATTTTCCAGAATTCAAGCGCGATAGTGTGATTTCCTTATATTTGGCTGGAAAACCACAAGTGACTATCGTTACAGAACTCCAGCATTGAATAAATCTTTCGTGTCTCGTACCATCGCTCGTTAACGTGGTATTGGTAGCGTAGCCCGACGTCAAGGAAGTGGATGGAAGAATACAGCAACATCAGCATAAATGGTTCGAAAAATAAAGAAGCGACTTGATCGAAACCCGCGTCGCATTGGGCGAAAAATTGCTCGTGAGCTGAACATATCGCAATATTCCATTCGGCAAGTATTGAAAAATTAGCTCGGTGTTAAGCCATTGAAATTCCAAAAGTGCAAGAACTTGCACCGCAACAAAAAGAAAGAAAAAAACTCAAAAGAGCTAAAGTGTTGGTTCGCTTGGTCGAAAGTGGTGAACTGCCGAATTTGGTTTTTTTCGATGAGAAAACAATCGTGATTACTTGCCAAAGAGGTCAGCTGAAAATGTGCACCTTCGCTTGGCCACCAGAACTCAAGCGCCGGCCATGGGGATGGAGTGGGCCGGTTGATGGTCGCTCTCCGCTCGTATTATTCGTCCGTGGCATCAAAATAAATGCCGAATATTATCGCGAAAATATTCTGGAGGGTGTATTAAAGCCTTGGACACTCAAACATTTTGGCCACAGACCTTGAACATTCCAACAGGAGGTTCCTCGCTTCATTTCCAGCGCACAAATGCCACCAAAATCTCCGGATACCTATCCGTTGGACTATTGTATAAAGTATTTTCGAAAGCAAGGTTGGCACTAAAAAATTCAAAAATGTAGATTACCTTAAGCAAGCGCTTCGCCGGGAATAGGCCAAAATACCGCAGAACAACATTCGGACAGCGTGTGACGGTTTCATTGGCCGTTTGAAGACGATAATTCATGCCAAAGTTGACCAAAGATATTTGCAACATTTTGTTTGAGCAAGTCGGTGCTACATGCCGAAGCTACACTTGTTAAAACAAGTTAAAAAGCAGTAAGTTCGGCCGGGCCGAACTTTTAATACCCTCCAGCATTTGCAACGAATTTGGAAATTTTTAAAAAATAAAATCCTTAAAAAATTCTGTTAAAATTTTAAAAATACCGAATATAGCCGTTATATTGGGGTCTATACGACGTGGACATACATAGCCATTGTTTGTCATAAGCCATTACCATATTCAAATTCGAAACTTGAAATAAACGGTGAATAATGTAGCTAAAATCATCAAAATATCCTATATAAGGAGGTGCCGTTAAATTGGAGCTGTGCGAAGACCTGGACCAGCATAGACAATTTTCAGTCACAGGCTGTAGCATCCATTACGAACTTCAAATACCACATCTCAAACAGTGGGTATTGTACCTAAAATCGTCAAAATACCGAATATAGGGAGGTACTGAAATATGGGGCCTATACGAAGACCTGGACCTGCACAGACAATTTTCCGTCTTAAGGTGTAGTATCCATTTTGAACTTCAAATACCAAATTTGAAACAATTCCCGTGAATAATGTCGCTAAAATCATCAAAATACCGAATATAGGGAAGTACCGTTATATGGGGGCTATATGAAAACGTGGACCTACATAGCCGATTTACGAACTTAACCTGCTGTAGCATCCATTACGAACTTCAAATACCACATCTCAAACAATTTCGGTGGGTATTGTACCTAAAATCGTCAAAATACCGAATATAGGGAGGTACTGATATATGGGCCTATACGAAGACCTGGACCTGCACAGACAATTTTCCGTCTTAAGGTGTAGTATCCATTTTGAACTTCAAATACCAAATTTGAAACAATTCCCGTGAATAATGTCGCTAAAATCATCAAAATACCGAATATAGGGAGGTACCGTTATATGGGGGCTATATGAAAACGTGGACCTGCATGGCCCATTTACGAACTTAACCTGCCTACTGGAAAAATAAACATGTGTGCAAAATTTTAGCCATCTATCTCAATTTATTCGAAAGAATGGTGGAGGGTATAAAAGTAAAGGATTATATAGCGGACCCTTTAATATGCTATACCAGGTACCCCTCTCGCTCAAGTTGATATTTTTTTGCAAAATTTTTAATTTTTGTGGATGTAAAACGATTGGACCGATACCGGCCATTTCCGAACTCAACCTAATTTCGTATAAATATCACCATACTTTAAACCAAATCGAATACTCCCTTAAAGAATTACTGAGCCAATGTACATGCCACATATAATCTAATCCGATTTTATGTTTATTATTTAACAAATTCGAAATATCTCCTCGAACAAATGGATGGATTTAATCAGACAACGTCAAAGTAATATACATTTTTTAATTCGATATCAGCCTTTCCAAAGCCTAAATTTGCACCCTGTAGCAATGTTGTTGATAATTACATCAGGAACGAGAGTAGGGTGGCAAACCATCCGAAATGACTCAGTTTCAGTTTTTATATATTTTATATGGAAAAGTTAAGTTTTGCAAGTGGACCCCGGATATGGTTTTGATGTATATGTTCCATCCGATTTAAAATGTAAAAACAATAGTTGGTAGTATTTAATTTCTTTTCTATCCACAAAATTAATTCCAAATTGTTATTGTTTATACCGACTATTGTCCTTCCCTTACTGGTTTCAATTTAAATTTTGGGGAAAATGCCTTGCAATCGTTGTTCTCAAATGAAACGCATTGAATGGGAATATTTATAGAAATTAGCATCCAATACGCCTGATGTACCGCTTAACCAACTGCGAGGCGGGTCGCGTTTCAATGTCATCCCCTTAGGTTTTTCGTAGCTCAACTCCAAACAGAAATAATCAAATATCCATTTACCCTGGTTAAGCAAACATTTCAAATAAAAAATGGTATTTCTATGTCCCACTGTAATTTTAAAATATCTCAAAATTTAAAATCTCAAAGAAATTATGGTTAAATTTCTGTCAAACCATCTTATACCAGTCGAAAGTTCATATACCTATAGATGTGCACAATATGTGTGTATCCTAAGGTACATAATATTTAAAACATCTCACTCTGAAACTTGAAAATTAAAAGCAACCTATTGAAGTGATATTCTAATTTCATAATCTCCATTAAATTACATGATAACCATTCCGTTTTCAGAACTTAAATGCGAATTATGAATTTTTTCTTCATCATGTAATTTTAAATAATTTTCAAATAAAATCTATTTTTTATTTCTAATTAATGTGGCATAACTCCACAACGCAGTTATGTAAAAGTTTTTATCATGACTACAAGTAGACGACAGTCTTTTCCCCCTTTGGCATCTGATCATCACTGCAAAAGGCCATTCAACTTTTCGGGCACTCAGCAAGGCAACACATTTCAATTAAGCCTTCATTTCGAATGTCTAATCCCCGTCCATTGTTGGTTAACAATTCTCTGCAATAATAAAATCATTCACATTTTCTTTTCATTT